TATGTTATGGTATGTATGTATGTATGTATGTATGTATGTATGTATGTCCGTATGTACGTATGTATGTATGTATGTATGTATGTATGTATGTATGTGCAGGTCAGCCCGTGTCGGTTTCAGTTGTTTTCTTGTCATTGGTTTTCTCGGCGGCGGCATAAAGCACTGGGTAGCTAACACTTCAAAGGGGGGATATGAAGCAGGGAGGCTCTGAGGCTCATGCGGCATAACTTGCGGAGCTATTTTTACCAGCTTGTGGCGACAGGTTGAGCTGGAGCTTTTTTCGACGTTTTCTAGGAAGCGTTCTGAACTCACATTGGCATAAACTCAAGAGTTTTCTGAACAACTCATGCAAGAACGAGCGAGGCTTGTTTTTCGTCTGTATGTCTCATATTAAGTGGGAGCCATCGGAAAGACTCGGGGACTTTACAGCCGCTGTGGCGTAAAGTTTAAAATCCCACTTGGCGGCACCTGAAGTTGCCAGCTCGATGTTGCAGTGGGAGCATCCGGTTTGGATCAGGGCCTCGTTGTTGGCAGCACAGTAGCTGCCAGTAGCTTGCAGTCCTCCGAGGCTGCAAATTGATTCCCCCAACACCCTACCGCAACAACCGATGCATCCGACATGTTATTCGGTTCTTACTCGATAACCCTCGATGCCTCGCGCTGACGCAGGCACGATGACCGCCTTCTGCAAGCGCAATCATGCTCGCTGCTCCCATCAGATGATGGTCACGACCTGCCTTTCTGGTTGGGTGCAGGCACTGCAGCAGCCGTGCTGTAACTGACCTCAGCACGACAAGCCCCTCTGTAATTCTCAGATTCGGAGTCCCCGTGCGATCATCTGCAAGCATAGAAAGGTTCAGCAAGCCGTAGGGATAATGGCGAATCAGCCTGTCATGTTTGTCTTTCAGCAAGCGACAAGCGAGTATTCAAGGAATGAGCTACTTTGGAGGTACAAACAGTTTCGGACCCCAGAAAGGACATGAGTGGGGGACGCCACGTGCCGACATGTCAAAAAATGCGCCGATGTGTCGCCGCCAACATGCAGGGAAAACTCGCCGACATGCTAAAAAGTACGGGCCGATGTGCATGCAAAAACAACGCAACAACATGCCAAAAGCACGTGCCGGCATTCCAAAATGCACACCGACATGTCAACACCTGCCCCACGGAGATAATATATCGTGGTGTGTTTTTCCATCTCGGGGCGCGTTTTGTCGTGTCGCCGCTCCCGATCTCCATAAGTTGCAGCGGGCAATGCTGCAACTTCGTACCTGTCGTCCCCGAAAAGACCAAAGTTTCGATGTCTTCGCGGCACCATGAGCCTTCCAGATGTGGGTGATAGCCGGAGGTTAGAGCACCTGCAAGACGACATGCAGAGGAAATGAGTAGGCTGCTGTATTCGCAGTCTTTCGCTCGGTTTTGAACGACGAGCCCTGCTTCGCGTGCATCCACCGAGGGCAGCACAACATTTGCGCCGCTTTCATTGCCAGACTTGGCACAACATCTTTACACGCGTGGGCCGGTGATTTCCAGAAAGCAGTGAGGCCCAAGAAAGACAAACCCAAACCGCACCAGGACCCGTCACAAGCCTCCGTATGTACATGTGACGTGCGCTTGGACTCCGACTTCAAGGGAGGGCGAAGTCCCCATGACTATGACGTCTTCAAAGGGATGCCCCGACAAGCTTCTGCTGTCTTGATCAGCCCAGAAGCCAGTCGTTCAAAGCCACACGGCACTTATGCAAAGAGTTTTGTCTTGCCTTCAGTACTTACCGTATCTTACCGTCATGTCTGATTTTTACTTTGCACAATTACCCGGATGTATGCCCTCCCAATGTTTGGAGCATCCTGTTTTAGGTGAACCTTGGCTTTTGAACGCGCTTCTGTCAGGTAGAAGCTCACTTGCGCGCCGCGCTGCGTCTTCCTCTTTTCTGGAGCTGAAAGCCCCCGGCTGGCCAACAGGATTTGGAAGATGCTTGTCCGCAAGTTTTCATCCTCTTCAGTTCGTGGACACTGCAGGAAGGTGTCCTTGCCCACCGGCGAGCAAACGTTCTTCTTTGTCAAGCTCGTCCGTCAAGAGCATTGTAATTAGTAGGTTCAGCCCTGGATTGTTGATCCCGCGCCGAAGCTCCACACACCCGCTCAATGGCCGTCAGGGCCCAAACAGATCCAGAGAACGGGAACCGCTTGAATCGAAACAACAGGGAAGCATCGAATGAATGCGAAGCTGAAAGCATGGCTTGTCCGTTGTGGCATCAACAGGGAAGTTCTCCAACTTGCCAGCATCGACTACCCGACTGCAAAATGGCTGCTTCCAAGAACACCAAGTCTCGGGCCGAGGCTCCCAGCGACACAAGATGCAATGGGAGACCAGGCCTTTGGAAGATGGTGATTCCTCGGACGATCTCATCATTGACCGTGAGGATGAGGCGAACCATGCTCCAAGCATCTCCGAGCGGCACAGAAGCGTAGATGCTTGCACAGACCTGCAGCTGCAGGACAATCCCCCGGACGAGCTCGATGACGAAATCGGCCCCGTTGCTTGGCCCGTTGTTGCCAGGACTTGGAGAGGAAAAGCAATGGGTTTTGTGTGGTTGGGACGAGTCATGAGCATGGGTGGCAGGTTGTCCCTCTTTATCCGCCTAAACTTTCGGCGATCGGTGCCCGTGATACGCAATTGGACCTTACCAAGATGTGGTTGGGTGAAACTGCACCATCACAGGGGTAGATTTGAGACCATCAGCCAGCCTTCAAGTAAAGTCTCAATAGATTGAGGTGATCTGCGCGGGGAGGCTGACGGCCCTCGCCCGGCAAGCCATCTACTGCCCTTGGAAAAGGATGATGAGGCACGGATTTTGGTAACGAAGCGCTTGTGTCGGTGTGAGGCTTGCAAGCAGTGTTGCATCTGAGCGCAAAGGCGGCGATACCGGCCGCAGCACCACAAACAGAGGAGGTGCGAAGCGACACCGGCTGTTGAATGCTTCTGCATCTTTGTTTTCTTCAGTCCACTTTACTGCATATCAGGCATCCGGGTATGTCAAAGAAACAAGGCCGCTGCAAAACGTTTACATGGAGAATTGAGGGTGCCAGTGCCTGAGTATGCCATCCTTGCGGGACCAGGCTGGATGTATTAGACAAGTGGCCTCCACCTCCACGCACGCTTCCCAGAATCAAGCGTGCCTGGTCGCCATTGTCTTGCAATCGGTAATTGGAAGGACAGGATGGAGATGCTGATCTGCCCGCTGGACCAGTGCCGAGCGTCAAGGCAGGTTGGGTGCAGCGAGCATCGTGCAGCTGATCCTCCCCTGTGGCTGTTCTAAACTCGTTGCATTGCTGCTCCATCTTTCGGCACACCACTCACGGCCATGCAAGCTGGCAACGAAGACGTATTGAAGGAGTGGCTATCGGCAGAAATTGGACAAAAATCGATCTCACAAATCTGTTTCCGTACGCAGCTATTCGACTGGCATGAGCTTCGATTCGGCTGCTTGGTAGTATGCTTAGTGTCTAGTGTAGCAGTGTGTTACCGTGTCCGTAGAACCGTAGAGCTCCTTCAAACCGACAGGGTTTTTTCTCTCTTTCGGGAAACCGGGCAGCAGCTGCAGGAAGGAGCGCTACCGGGGATGTGGACAGAACACTTATCGACTGCGTCTAACCCCCTCGGCCAAGGGACTCGGCACAAAGACGTCTCCGTGAATGAAATATTGTGCAGCCCCCTCTTCGGGTAGATGCACTTAACCACTTAAGATGAAGTCATAGTTTCTTGGCTGACCTGCTGCTTGCAGGTGTATGCCGAACACCGGTATGCGGATGCTAAGAAGGCCGTCTTGCCATGCAGTTTGCATCGGCAATCAGTAGTTCGACACGGAAGGCAAACGAATCTTGGTCTGAGCTACTTCGCCAACGCGAGGAGGTCAGAGTTCATGCGGAGGGTTTATCTTCATGATCGTCGGATATCGTCGGCCTCAGCAGGCGAAAGAGGAAGCGACAGCCAAGCCCACGTTCGAGGCGGGTCACTGCAAGCGAGACTACTTGCATTGCATTTCAGGAGATGTAGTCCGACGGATTTATGATGTGCATCTTGGCCAGGTTCACTTGAAAGAAGATGCCGCCGAGCAAGATGACCAAGACTCCTCCGGAGAGCTGTACAACAGCCCCAATGCTGATAACGTCATCCCGCCAGAGCTCCGAACAGGGCTTGAGCGCTAGCGAGATTGTCAAAAATGCGATGCATGCCGCGCATACTCACTTGAGATTGCAGCTGTGCAGCTGCCTAGAGTCGCCGCACCTGCATGCAAGTCGGTTTTCAGAGATCAGATGATCAGACATTTAACATGTCGGTGGCACAACTCTTGGTAGCGCTCATGACCTCTGCTGCCGAGGAAGCACCTGGTCCTTTCGCATTTCTCGGCGAGATATGCACGGACGTCTGAGGTCTGCGATCTGTTCGTGACGGTAGGAGCAGGGCCTCGCTCTGCAACGTGATTGCAGGCAGATCAGTCGACGCCGGACCCGGCACAGAAGTTGGGCGACGAGGCTTGGAGTTGTGCAGGCATGACAGGCTGAACTGACAAGAATCGAGGCGCGAGAAGTTCTCGGAGATGATGTTAAAGTCACGGTCGCGCAGGACTGGCGATGCAGAAAGTGTCGCTGCGTGTCTTTACAAACAAACTGCTTAATTAGCTCTCATGCTTCGGTACGCCCTGGCATTCGTATTGTCACATAAAGTCAAGTCAAGCTCGAGAGGATTTTATGGCTCTGCACCCGGTGTTTTCGAACGAGTGTGGGACTTGGGAGTCACATTCAACAAGCTCAAACCTTGACAAAGGTTCTACGCGGTGATCACTTTGAGCCAGAGCCGGGACCTTTAAGTTCATGCCGCGGGGGTCCGTGCATAAGACAGTACGTGAACTCTGCTGAGGCAGGAACTTGCTGTGAAGAAATATCCATGGCACCGAGAGACATCGGCTGCAGCCCTGTCGGTCTTTGCTGGCTCTCGAGGCTGTAAGAGCACACTGTCTTGGATTGAGGTTTGGCCCACAAAGTCTGGGTGTTCCTGTTGCGACTAAGCTCCGCCAGTCGGAAAACAAGGACGTGCCTGTGTTTCAGGTATTTGGAAGCATAATAACATAATATCTGTGTGAGCCTTTGAAGATCCTTGAAGCAGTCCTTCCCTTCGCAAAGAAAACTTTGTTCAATGGCCAGGCACAGGCGGCCACAGCCAAAGCCTGACGTCTAGTCACAGTCGCACCAGTGAGTGAAGAAACTGCAAGAAAGACACTGCTTTCCAAGTCGTTCGAAAATCCAGTCCAGTCCACTCCACTCGACTGGTGGTTCCTGAAAGTTCCAGACTTTTTGCTCGCTTTACAGTAAGACCTCTGCATATGCAGTGGCAACATCCTGCTAGTGAACGATTTGAGCCTTCAACGAGGCACAGGATCATTTTGTTAATCTTAAAGTGGCTTCACAGCCTGCGCACACCAGTGTTTTCCAGCGCTGAGAGAGGGGCGACGACGTCAGCTTGGGTCTTGGACCGGTTCCACCTTCCGGGTAGTCGCACCTTTGTCGCAGCGGTTTCACGAATGCTGCGCCGATAATGTCACGAGGCTGCCAGCTTTGAGCCATGTCCATAGCCCACAATGCTCTGCCGAGCTGCAGCAAAAGTGCGAAATTCCATCCCCCACTTTGCCATTACAACTTGCACGTCTGGGTGTGTCTTAGAGAAGTTGATTGCGCACTTTCAGAACGCCGTCCTTTGCTTGTCCTTTGCTCAAGATCCCTTTCCTGCAAGTTCCCGCCAGCTGGCAAAAGCCTTACTTCCTTGGCACGAGTTGCCCGGAAGACTTTCTCGGCTCAGGCGATGGGGCGTCTTCTCCCAGGTCGCCCACGGGCGGAAAGGCAAGAGTGCACTCTTCTCGGTCAAAGGGAGATATTTCGCCCCGGAGGCGGGCCCTCACCAGCCTCGCGATTGCTTCTGTGTTGTGCTGGCCTCAGCACAAATACCAGCCTTGGCCCAATCTGCTTCACGAAGAGCTAGGGTTGGCATCTCATGGACTTGGTCTGCCACGTTCTTCGGAGGCAGGATGAGGATTGATGAACCGCCTGTTGTCGCACAAGCTCCATGCAGCTCAATGAACCTCCCCTGCAGAGGCAAGAAGAAGAGCAAGGACGCTGCAGCCTCACTGAGATGTGATCAGTATTCAGAGATTGTTTGGGGAAGCCTGGCTGGACAATTGTTCACAGTGCAGGGGGTCTCTCGTGAGCAATGCACAGCTGCGATCTCTCACAAAGAGCTCCTAGTTACTAGTGCCAACCGCCAGAGGACGTACCTGCTGATGAAAAGGCAAGAATCATCAGCATCCTGGGTCGGGAGGCGTGGCTTCTTGCAGCATGTCTGTGCACTTGTCCGGATTCGTAACTCGCAAAAAGTCAGCAACGACTTAATGCTTAAGCCCTGAAGTCCTTTGCCGCACCTAACGTATTCACTTTCGATTTCGTTTTAACTTGTTGATGGGTGTTCGACATTCGCTGCCTTCGATGGGCTATCGGGCGGCACGGAAGACAACCAAACTGGTCAGGTTGTTTTGTTGAAAGGGTTAGCCGAACTTCGCAAGTTTGGTGTTTGCACGGATCAGCATCACGAGTTCGCAGCACCGAACTTATTTTGCAGCAAACTACAAACAATCCAACGAGCGCCGAGAAGACTACACCGCGGATGGGAGTTGAACGCGATGCCCAGAACTTGCCGGTCGCTTTGAGCGAATCTACATCTCGTGCGTATTCATACAGCTTCATGTAGAAAGTTTGGTTGATGTAACGTATGAGATGTCGCTTTCGTGTGTTGACTCGGTGGTCTTGTGCTCATGCTCTTTAGGACCTTAGGGCATGACAGATAGCTTGCAGTGATCCAGGTTGTTGACAGCCGAGGGAACCCGACTGTAGAAGCAGAGCTGACCACAGGCAGGCCATTCTCTTGCTGGTTCAGTGCGGTACGTACTGAACGACCGGAAAGGATTTGGCACTGTTCGTGCTGTGGTGCCCAGTGGGGCTTCAACAGGAATCTACGAGGCCGACTACTGTCCCTTCAACACTTCTGTCCGAGCCTGTCCTGACTCCAGGCGCTGGAACTGCGAGACGGCGGCAGCAGATACCAAGGTCCGGCTGCGGCCTCGACTCACTCCAGACTCCCAGCCTGTTTCTGTGAGGACAAGGTGTCTCCAAAGCTGTGAGCAACATCAACCGTGTGATCGCGCGATATGCCAAGCATGCCAAGCCTTCCCTCTCGTTCTTGAGAAGTCTGCATCCACAGGCCGAAGCTGAAAGGAAAGGATGTCCGCTTTCAGAAGGACTGACAAAGTGTTTGTCTTCGCATATTTGGGTATTCGGGTATTCGGCTGTCTGAAATCCGGTGTGTCGAAGTGAGTGTTTGAGAGATCGAAATTCCGTTACATCAATGCGACATCCAGCGCAGTGCCGTAAACAGAGACCACTTCATCGCATGGTTTTTTTCAGAAGAGGATCAATCTTCAGTTGTCTTTGGAACAAACACGGCACCCGGCGGTCGCAAACAAAGACACAGACACACAGGCACACACAGACATAGAAAACGGAGCCGTCAAGTCGTAATTGCTCGCTGCCTGTATAGCACCTGGCACTCCAAAGCGCGATTCCAGCACCACTGCTTTTCAAGCACGCGCAATTGAAGCGCAAAAGCCGGTGCAAGAAGGCAAGATTCAAGGCGCTTTAATCCACAGGATTTCTAAAGTTTGCGCCTTGAGGATGTTTGCTTTCGTTTTGCGGGGTGTAGGGCTTTTGGATTTTAGGGTTTAGGATCTCAAGGCAGGGCTTGCGGGACGGGATGGGTTCAGGTTGTTTGTAGGTTGCAGGCGCATTCGGTTTTCAGGCCTTAGGGCTTTGAGCGTTAGTCTTCACGGTTCAGGGTGTTTAGGGTTTAGGGTCTTTGGCTGTAGGGGATGTAGGTTTCAGGCCGTCTTGTTTCATCGAGTGTTTCAAGGTTTTCGGCCGCCCACAGTGCGTAGTTCCAGTGGCTCAGAGCGTACATCTGTGGATGTTGGATGTGGCCTCCATGTCAGGTAGACAGCACCGAGGGTCGATCCAATTTGAGAGTGACGTTGGTCTCATGGTTTCTGGATTCGAATGATGGCAACTATGAGGATCTCGATGAGCTGATGGTGGCAGCCTTGGCAGAGTTTCCTGGATTCTTCGAGCAGTGCTGCGGTTTTCTCGCCGGTGTGCCTGCAGATCTTCAAGCTGGATGGGACGGAAAACGAGTGGGGTCACCCCAAGGCCTGGACTCTTTGCATTCTGGCAGATCTGCAGCTGACAGCTGTTTGAGAGGCAAAACTTGGGGCTAACGCGATCCTTAGCTGATTTTCTGATGACCTGCATGCCATGAGTGTGTATGACATGGTGTTGATTATGCGCACTCCTCCTCCTTCCCTCACTCACTCCTCACTTCCCACTCTTGTTCACTCCTCCACGCCCACTCTCACCCTCACCCAGGCCCTGACCGTGACTCTCACCTCACTCTCACTCTCACCCTCACTCTCTCTCTCTCTCACTCTCACTCTCTGACTCTCTCACTCTCTCACTCTTTGACTTTCTCACTGTTTTACTCTCACTCTCTCTCTCTCTCTCACTCTCACTCTCTCACTCTCTCACTCTCTCACTCTCTCACTCTCTCACTCTCTCACTCACTCACTCACTCACTCACTCACTCCCTCACTCCCTCACTCCCTCACTCCCTCACTCCCTCACTCCCTCACTC